AATCTCTGCGCTTGCACCTTCGGCTACTGCGTCTAGCATGACGGTAATTCCATGGCCAAGGGCTGGTATCGATTCGGGCTCGGAGAGCCCTGCTGCCGCCACAGGGGACGAGCCCGCTGTAGTGAGAAGCGCAGTTTCGGCCCGGAAAGCCTCGAGCACCGTCTCTTCGGGAATGTCCCTCTTGGGCGATCCCGGAACACCATCGATGATGAAGATGAGGAAGCTGAATATCTGCTGCACCAGCTGGGCGGATATCTTGGTCTTCCACCCGTGGACAATGAGAATCGTCAGGCACTTGACGCAGTCTTCCACTACGGTCATAGGGTATCGTTCCAGCTGGCGAAAGATGTGATGGAGAGGGAAGAAAACATATTCAGCAAGCTTCTCGTCCAGGGCGAGCGGGTTGGTAGAGATTTGCTGGTTCAAGATGTCGAGGATTTGGTCGACCAGCTGCAGCACTTGTCGATGCGACTTTGGGTCTCCCGCCTCCCGGATCGCCAGCTGGCTCACTTGAACGCAGCATGGCTTCAACTACACAGAGCATCAGATTTGCTCTCCCGTCTTCTTGTCAAGATACATGTCCAACGACTCACCTTTTGGAACAGTTCGTTTCGCTCCTTGGCCGCTGGACTTGTCTCCATGGTCCGCTATAACCGGACACAAAGCTTTTCGGCCAGCTTTACCTGCACATGATCTCTCGCCACTCTCCCGTTTGCACCGTCCGGGCGTGGATAAGAGGATCGAAATTAAGTTGAGGTGCTAAAGTCTGAAGAGGTGATTCGTCTGATGGTGGCTTTGTCACTTGCTCACCAAGAGCTGCTTTGACAGAAGGCTGACGAAGAGGTTGACGATGAATGGATGCCGTTCGATGTGAAGCACGGCTGGTGGGGAGCTAGAAGTACAGTAAATTTTGTGTTTGACACTGTATTTGTACTCTGGAAGATGTCGATCGCGCCTGACGGCATCTGGGCAGCAGCAGCCGAGCGGAGAATAACTGACTAGCCGCAGACGCTAACTGGTACTAGCACTGTGTATCTGCCCTATCCGTCAGCGGCCTTGCCCTTGAACCTCAAGATGACAGCATTGGGGCCCCTTGTCAGCTGTTTTCCAGAGTCATGTCCCTGTACCTAATGACGTAGAGGTACCTTAACACGTCTTCCACTGTACGCGTTTCCCCTGAGGCATAAAACCCACCTCTTATGTGCATCGTTCGATGCTCCAGAACTGTGAAGCCTCAATTCAACATCTCCAACCAGCCTCATAGACCTAATCATCAAAGACAAGATGGAGAAGCCTTTTCCTCTTCTGGCTCACCCTTACCGGTCGCCTACTCGAGGCTCTGTTGCCTACGAGATGGGTAACACAGCATCCAGAAACGCCATCGTCTTCATTGGTGGCCTGAAAGATGGCCCTCATACCACGGGGTACATCCGACATGTTGCCAGAGAGCTGGAGAAGCTGCCCGAGTTGGGCTATTCTGTGTTTGAGATACGGATGAGGAGCTCCTTCGATGGATTCGGAACAGCGAGCCTGGCAGATGATGTCCACGACATCGCGGCCCTTGTCAAGTACTTGCGGGCTATCAACCGAGAAAAGATTATCTTATTTGGTCATTCAACGGGTTGCCAGGTATTTTCATCTACATGCAAGATACATTTCGAGCTTAACACGCTGACAGGTTCCAGGACTGCGTGGAGTATGCCAATTACCCAAGATACTCCAATCCTCCAGTGGATGGCTTCATCCTCCAGGCTCCCGTCTCGGATAGAGAGGGCGCAGAGATGATGTTCCCTGACTGCAAAGCCAAAGTCGAGTATGCGGCCAAGATGATCGCCGAGGGGAGGGGAGGAGACTGTCTGCCCAGCGAGCAGTCGTTTAGCATGTTGGGCGCACCAGTGTCGGCGCAGAGGTTCTACGACCTCTATGCCAAGGGGTAAGTTGGCCACTCTGCCGAGTCTGTTGAAGCAACACGGGGCTGTTGGCTAATCTTTGCAGTGGTGCCGATGACTATTTTTCTTCCGACCTAGACATTGCAACGCTCAGCAAGTTCTGGGCTCGGTTTAACAAGCCTGTG